GGAGGGAGCAGAGGAGGGGGCGGAGCAGGAAAAGGAGGAGGAGGAGGACGACGACGACGAGGAGGAGGAGAAGGGGGAGAAGGAGGAGGTATTGCCCTAATCGAAACGGGGCGCGGTGGGGCCCCCCCCCCCCCCCACCGCGCGCCCGCCGCCCTGCAGGGTGACCCCGCGCGGCCGTGCCAGAGGCGGCTGCGCAGACGGCGAAGGGTCCGTCTCGCCCCGCCCGCCAGGCCGAGCCCGCTTGGCATCGCCGTGCTCGGCGGCTCCGAGCAGCTAATAGGGCTGTGCTGCGTATCTCTGCTGCTGCACGCAGGCTAAAGGCACAACACAGCAGTATGACGCCATGGTGTTGTTCTCGTGGTACGAAGAACGGTGCTTCCTTCTTGTATTGCAGATAGTGTGGCAGCGAATGAAAAAAAACAGCCGAAGGCAGATCGTGAAGCCTCTGTTCATGGTGAACGTCAAGGGCGGTCGTCACGAGCCTCTTCAGCACAGAGTAATCGAAAGGGGCGCGACAGGTCCCACAGCAGGAACCGTACAGAAAGCGCCCTTCGCAAGATCATCAAGGATATTGGGCCCATGCATATCGGACTTGCTCTGATTTCAGATGTGTGGATGAAGCTACCAGGTAAAGACGAGAAGGGGCAGGTGGCCGTCCACAAGAGAAAGTCATGGAAGCGCATCTGCAAGTTAGCAGAAGTCGTACACAGCATGAAGCTGGCAGGCAAGTCTCCGTCCATCGAGGTTCAGGGATCGCAGTGCTCAACGCGGGCATTCAAGCTCGGATGTTGGGCCCATTCTTGCGAGCAACGGTGTTGAAGGGCCCCGAGGTTGCGCGAAGAAAGAACAAGCACGCTGCTACGGTTCGGCCTTTGCGGGCAGCTGTGCTGCGACATCGTGCCCAGGCTGCGCACGGAGTCAGGCACGCGGCCGCGCTGGCCAGCACACACCTCTTCTCCCAAGCGGAGAGCTGGCACATGCTACCCGGCACGGCGTTCACCGGATTGCGGCACGCGCTCGTGGCTGGGTGCCGCGCTGCGCCCGAGTCCCTGCGCCCACCGACCCGCGAGCACGGGAAGACGGACGACCAGGTGGTGCGGGAGGCTGCGCGCTTTGATTACCAGGGGGCGTTGCGCTGTCGCAGACTGAAGCACGTCGCGAGGCTCGTGCTGCATGGACCGCCTACCCTCCAGAGGTGCTGGACCTCGCGATGGCCATCTCGGCTTCGTGGGTGGAGCGTGCGCGTCGTGGCCTTGCGCGGCTCCATGCGTTTGCAGCTGGTGGGCTGGACAGCGACCCAGAGAGCCACGACAGCTTCCAGGATTGGGCTCGTTTCGCCATGTCGCAGCACGATAGGTTTGTCCCCGCTCTGAAGGTCGCGTGGCAGCGTTCCGCCTGGAGCCCGAGGGAAGCGCGTGGCCACGCATGGGCTATCAAGCTGGCGCGGTCGTTACTGTAGCAACTGACTACCCAGGCGGCCCCCGCTGGCCAGGAAGCTGTAGCTCATGTGTGCTATCAGTGACAAGTCCTTCTCCACGGTGCGGGATACAGAGGGCATTGGCGGCGAGTACACCAACCTCTGGACCATGCCCCACTACACGCACGTGGCTCGCAGTGTCAGGCATGTGGCACCGAGCATCATGTGCGTCCAGGCCTCACCGAGCACTTGCGACGTCCTGGCTCGGGCTGTCTGCAGATGCCGCTGGACACGGAGGACCCGTCGGACGAGGTGGACGCGAGGAGCCTGCGACAGCAGGACCTTGCCCTGGGCCACGAGCGGGCGGCTGAAGGGCATGCCGCTTATGTTGCCCTAGATGCAACTGTGCCTGGTGGGGCCATGCACTTCCCCAGGGGCGTGGACCTGAGACTGCCGCCACATGTGGTCACAACGTCTCACCGAGCGTGGGCTATCAATGTCGCGCGTGGCCTCCAGCGCCTCATCTCAAATGGCAAATGTCTTGTGCGTTTCCATCGGACCGCGGACGTCGGATGATATAGCTTACGCTTTTCGTTCGTCCTTCAATCGAGTTACGGCTACAACACTGCATTGGCATTTCCGAGTGTCAATGTATCGGAAGCATTCGTGGATCCTTTGAAGTTGCGGAGGTGGACGGACCTGACCTTGAGCAGGCATATACATTCGGTGGTGGTTGCTCCAGACAAACGGTCGTGGCTCTTGCCTGCTGCTGATTCTTCCTATCACGTGCTGCGGACAGCCGAGTGCCCGTGGGGGGGAACGGCGCCTTGCGCCCAGGGCGGCGGCAAAGCTGGCGAACGAGAATGTCATGATCAGACACGCGGCTGTTTTCATGGCTGCTGCTCAGTCGTCGGGGCCAAGTGCTGCGCCCATGCATGCTGCTGATATGCCGCGGAAGCGTGAGGCCGCGAGTTTCTGCAACATGGACTTGATCAAATGTCTGCTGGTCCTCCCGACAGCTACTCTTGCACCGATTCAGGGGTGTGCCTTTTTAGTTGCGAGGCAAAAGCGCCGCCCAATGTCCTGGCCATCAGGTGTCCAGTGGTCCTGGATCGGCTTCGGTGCCACAGCGACGTGGGGTGCTCGCATCCCCGTGGCCACAAGGTCGCTGCACCTCCCTCCGCGGTGCCCTCCTCCTCCTCCTCCTCCTCCTCCTCCTCATCCTCCTCCTCCTCCCTTCTCCTCCTCCCCCTCCTCCTTCTCCTCCTCCTTCTCCTCCTACTCCTCCTCCTCCTCCTCCTCCCCCTCCTCCCTTCTCCTCCTCCCCCTTCTCCTCCTTTTCCTTCTCCTCCTCCTCATCCTCCTCCTCCTCCTCCTCCTCCCCCTCCTCCTCCTCGGGGAGCTGCACCCCTGCCCTGGGAGGCCCGCCGACCACCGCGCCGCGCGAGGCGCAGCCCAGGCTGTGAGGCGAGCTGCCCGCGGGCCACGAGGTGCGGGTCGTCGTCGTCGTCGTCGTCGTCGTCGTCGTCGTCGCCGGCGACCTGGCCCCCATACGCCAGCGTGGTGGACACCTACGGCTGCGAGGCCCCCGAAGCCGCTGCTGCTGCCGCACGCGGGGCCGCCTGCCTGGCCGATGGCCTGCAGCCCGTGCTGGGCCAGCGGCTGGAGAGCGGGTAGCCCGCTCCATCCTTGCTCATCCCCCCCGCCTCCATGTGCATGCGTGTGAACTCGTCGGGACCCTCCCTATGGATGGATAAGTCAGTAAGCAAGCAAGCAAGCAAGCAAGCAAGCAAGTAAGTAAGTAAGTAAGTAAGTACGTGGGTAAGTAACTAAGTAACTAAGTAACTAAGCAGCTAACTAGTTAATAACTGACTAACTAACTAAGTAAGTAAGTAAGAGTAAGTATGTGGATGTACGGAAGTATTAAAGTACTTAAGTAAGTAAATGAGTATAGGTATGTGAGTGAGAAAGTGAATACGCAAGTGCGTCATTAAGTAAGTATTGCAGTAAGTAAGTGGATAAGTAAGTACGCAAGTAAGTAAATAAGTACATGAGCACGTATACGTTGATGAGTAAACGTAAGGGCGAAAGTACGTAGGTGAGTAAGTAGGTAAGTAACAAAGTAAGTAAGTAAGTAAGTAAGTAAGTAAGTAAGTAAGTAAGTAAGTAAGTAAGTAAGTAAGTGGGTAAGTAAATGGGTAAGTAAGTAAGTAAGCAAGCAAGTGAGTAAGTAAGTGGGGAAGCAAGTAAGTAACCATGTGAGCAAGTAAATAAAGAGGAGGAGGAGAACGACGACCAGAACGAGGACGAGGGCGAGGACGAGGACGGGGAGGTGAACGAAGATATGGGGAGGGAGCACGGGAGAGGGAGAAGAAAAGGAGAGGGGGAAGACGACGGCGAGGACGAGGGCGAGCACCGAGGAGGGGAGGGGAGGATCGGAAGGGGCAGAAGGAGGACGAGGGAGGGGAGGGAAGGGCAGGGAGGGAAGGGAAAAGGACGGAGAGGGAGAAGGAGGGAGAGGGCGAAGAGAGGGCGGGGAAAAAAGAAGGGGGGGAGGGGAACGAGGAGGGAGAGGAAGAGGAAGAGGGGGATGGTGAGCAGCAGAAAGGCACGAGGGCAAGGCGACAACGAGGGGGAGGGGGACGGTGCAACAGCGGGAAGGGGAGGGGCAGGACCTCAATACCAGTGGCCGCTGGTATTTCAGTTTCACGTCCAACTGCTTGATCACCTGCACCTGGAGGCGGGGAAAGGAAAAGACACGCGAGGGGAGTGTGGTACCCTCCTCCTCCTCCTCCTCTTCCTCCTGTTCCTCCTCCTCCGCCTCGTCCCCGTCATCATCGTCATCGGCAGCATCGGCATAATCATCAGCATCAGCATCATCATCAACTGCATCATCATCATCAGCAGCATCAGCATCAGTATCATCATCATCATCATCAGCATCATCATCATCATGACCATCGTTGCCATCATAATCAGCAGCAGCATCAGCACAAATACCATGGCCACCATCATCATAACGATGACCCCCAACATCCTCAGCTGCATCATCATCATTAGCACCAGCCGGTCATCATCATCAGCGGCATCATCAGCATCATCAACACCATCATCGCCATCACCATCAGCATAATCATCACCGTCGTCATCATAATCAGCTGCATCATCGTCGTCCGCATCATCATCATCGCCACCGTCATCATCACCATCGTCATCAACATCATCAGCATCAGCACCAGAAGCATTATATTGATCATCAGCACCAACATCGTCATCACCATCAGGAGTATAATCGGCATCATCATCACAACCATCAGCAGCATTAGATCATCAACATCAGTATCACCCTCATCGCCATCATCAGCATCAGCATCAGCATCAGCATCAGCATTCGCATCATCCTCACCATCATCACCGCCGTCGCCATCATCATCACCATCATCGTCGTCATCACCTTCACAACAACGATCCTCATCATCAGCATCAGCACCGTTATCACCATCAGCAGCAGCAGCATCAACATCAGCATCATCATCAACCTCATCATCAGCAGAATCGCCATCATCACCGGCATCGTCATCATCATCATCATCAGCATCAGCATCAGAAGCATGATCGTCATCTTCAGCAGCATCATCTGAATCATCAGCACCAACATCGTCATCATCATCAGCCGTATCATCAGCAGCATCATCAGCATCAGTATCACCAGCAGAAGCATCATCCTCAGCAACAGTATCAGCATCAGCATCATTATCCGCATCATCAGCAGCAACATGATCATCATCATCACCAACATCATCATCATCGGCACCATCGTCATCGCCTTCGTCAACATCATCACCATCATCGTCATCATCATCGCCATCAACAGCATCATAATCATGATCACCATCAGCACCACCATCAACAGCATCATCATCCTCATCAGCAGCATCGTCATCGTGATCACGCGTACTATCCTCCCCATTACCCCTTATCCACCTCACCTTTGCCATCTGTACCGGCATCAGCCTCATCAGCATCATCATCGTCGTCATCCTCATTACTGCCATCGACATCATCATGCTCACCACCGTGATCGTCATCATCATCATCACCATCATCATCAACAGCAGCATCATTAACACCATTCTCAACATCATCATCGTCATCATCGTCGCCCTCAGCACCGTAAACAGCAACAGCATCAACAGCATCATCATTATCATCAGAAGCATCAGAACAATCATCGACATCATCACCATCACCACCACCATCAGTATCACCATCACGATCACCATCACCACCATTACCACCATCACCATCACCATCACCATCACCATTATAACCACCAATACCAACACAACCACCACCACCATCATCAACTTCAGCAGCCGCATCATCAGCATTTATTACTTACCCCGCCGCAGCTCTCTGCTCTGACTTCTCTCTCGGTTAGGTGGGACCCAGAGATGGGGCACCGAGTCATGTCGAATCTTATCGACTCCCAATCTAAACTGCTGTTGCAAATGGCGAGAGGCAAGGACGAAGCGAGGCGGAGAGGCTCGCGCGGACCCGAATCAGACACGTGCGGGAGCCTAGACCTATTCTCAACCACCATCTCCCAGAACGTCTGGGTGTCTACACGACGATGATGAAAACGAAGCGGCCGTGCAGGAGGAGGCTCCGCAACATCTCCATGCGCATCAGTACCAATCAGAGCAGCCAGCGATTCCATGAGCGCCTTGGCCAGCGGCGGAGCAGCCTGAGGAGTGCCAGCAGAAGCTCGAGCATCAGCACGAAGCACTGCGCGGCAGCAAAGAACCGTACAGCACCGGTGCACTCCACGATCACCTGCAGCAGAAGGTCGTCACGCTCATCGTCGGCATGAGGAACACGGACAGCAGGAAGAAAGACAGAAGCCTGAACATTGAACGGGAAGGACGGTATGACTGGCAGAGTCCTGGACCATGAACTCCATGGATCGTGCCTCAGTTTTTGCGAACGGCAACGAACTGGATGATGATCACGTTTCTCAGGCTCGCGATCTCGTACAGCAGCTGCACCGTGAACAGGTCGCCTCCGCGGCGCCTTTGGTGGATGAGGTCGGCTTGAACAGCGCGATGGAGCCCAAGGATCTCCGTCAGGTTGCTGCCAAGGGTCATGCCCACGAGGATCAGGAGGTCCCTGACGATTAGGGGGATGGCCATCTTGCGGGTCATCTGAAGAATCGCGGCCATCACGGGGATCATCATCATCATCTTCCGCGTCATGTTGTTGTGGCCCTCGACCAGGGTGGAGGACCCAGATGCAAACCTCTTGGCGCCCATCAGAGTGACGGTGACCACGATCGATCGAGGTACCTCGCCCAGCCACCTCCCAAATGGTGCCGATCATGGCAAGCAGCGTGAACCACGAGGAAGGAGAAGAGGGCGGAGCCGATGAGTCCAAGGTGATCTTGATCTTGGCCTTCTGGTCCACCTTGGCAGAGCTGCAGGCGAAGTGAGCAGCAGCTGCACTCTCCCCTTGACGACGAACACATTCCAGTCTGGCAGCAACGACCATGGCGCAAACAGCGCAGGGAGGCGCAGGCGCGCCTGGCAAGCCACGTGGACAAGCAAATGCGCGAGCCAAAATGGCTCAGCAGCATCATCATCATCATCATCATCATCATCATCATCATCATCATCATCATCATCATCATCATCATCATCATCATCATCGTCATCACCATCGTCGTCACTATTGTCGTCATCATCATCAGTAGCATCATCAGCAGCAGCAGCAACATCATCATCATCATCATCATCATCATCATCATCATCATCATCATCATCATCATCATCATCATCATCATCATCATCTTCATCATCATCCAAGGGAATCGAAATGGGAAAGGGGAGGACCAAGCCTCCTAATCCTCCTCCTCCTCTTCTTCCTCCTCCTTCTCTCCTCCTCTTCCTCCTCCTCCTCCTCCTCCTTCGCCGCCGCCTCCTCTTCCGCAGCCTCTTCCTCGTCTTCCTCCTCCTCCTCCTCCTCCTCCTCCTCCCTCCCACTCCTCGTGGGACTGGGGGGTGGTTGGGCGGCGGGGTAAGGGGGGGGGCACTGGCCCGCTTCGGCGGAGAAGCGCTTCGGACCACCGCCCTCTTCGGCGGGGAGCCGCTTCGGGCCACCGGCCGCTTCGCCGACCGCTTCCGTCACCTCTTTGCCGCCCACCCCCACGCCAGGGAGGCCGCTGTCGCAGGGAGCCGCCAGCGCTCTGGGCGCGCGTGCCGCCTGCGCACCCTCCCAGCGCGCGTCGCGCAGCACTCGGCACACTGCAGCACCCAACATGCAGCGCACGCGCACCGCGCATCCTTCCCAAACATGCGACGTCCTGATTTTTTCATTACGGGGTCCCCGGAAATCTCGACCCGTTCCCCGGGACCGGTTTTTCGTCCTGAATCGTTTTTTGCCGGTCCCGAGGCCCGACGAGGGCCCCAGGGCCCCCCGAGGCCGAGATTGGCCAAAAACCTCCCGTCCTGATTTTTTTTACGACGCGATCTTGTCCGGGTTTTAGTCGCAGCGTTGGCGACCGCACACCTCGTTCGTAGCCTGAAGTGGGGCTGCTACCGCGCGAACTGAGCACAGACTGGCGGGGGGGCCGAGGACGGCGGCCGCGGAGGCGGGCACACCCAGACCATGTAGAACTAACCCTGTGCCCCTGATAGTAAGCCCCTGGGGATAATAAAGTTCGGGGCCCAGGGAAAAAAAATAAGCGCTTCCCCAGCAGATCGCCGCACAAAAGACGCTGTAGTCGGGATAGTAGTAGTAGTAGTAGTAGTAGTAGTAGTAGTAGTAGTAGTAGTAGTAGCAGCAGTAGCAGTACTATCGGTAGTAGTAGTAGTAGTAGTAGTAGTAGTAGTAGTAGTAGTAGTAGTAGTAGTAGTAGTAGTAGTAGTAGTAGTAGCAGTAGCAGCAGCAGTCGTAGTAGTAGAAAAAAGTAGTAGTAGTAGTAGTAGTAGTAGTACTAGTTGTTGTTGTAGTAGTAGTAGTAGTAGTAGCAGCAGCAGTAGTAGTAGCAGTAGTAGTAGTGGTAGTAGTAGTAGTAGTAGTGGTAGTAGTAGTAGTAATAGTCGTAGTCGTAGTCGTAGTCGTAGTCGTAGTCGTAGTCGTAGTCGTAGTCGTAGTCGTAGTCGTAATCGTAGTCGTAGTCGTAGTAGTAGTAGTAGCAGTAGTAGTAGTAGTGGTAGTGGTAGCAGTAGAAGTATTAGTAATAGTAGTAGCCGTCGTCGTAGTAGTAGTAATAGTAGTAGTAATAGTAGTAGTAGTAGTAGTAGTAGTAGTGGTAGTAGTAGTAGTAGTGATAGTAGTAGTAAGTGGTAGTAGTAGTAGTACTAGTAGTAATAATAGTAGTTGTAGCTGTAGTGGTGGTGGTAGTAGTAGTAGACATAATAGTAATAGTAGTCGTCGTCGCAGTACTAGTAGTAGTAGTAGTAGTAGTAGGAGGAGTAGTAGTAGTAGTAGCGGTAGTGGTAGTAGTAGTAATAATAGTAGTAGTAGTAGTAGTAGAAGTAGAAGTACTAGTTGTAGTAAGGGTAGTAGTGGTAATAGTGATAGTAGTAGTAGTCATAGTAGCACTGGTAGTCGTAATGGCAGTAGTAGTAGCAGTAGTAGAAGTAGTAGTAGAAGTAGTAGTCACCGTAGCAGTAATAGTAGTAGCAGCAGCACTAGTAGTAGTATTAGTAATCGTCGTCGTCGTCGTCGTCTTCGTCGTCGTCGTCGTCGGCGTCGTCGTAGTGGTAGTAGTAGCAGCAGGAGCAGTAGTAGTAGTAGTCGTAGTAGTAAGATCAGTAAGTAGTAGTAGTACTAGTAGTAATAGTAGTAGTAGTAGTAGTAGTAGTAGTAGTAGCCGTAGTAGTAGTAGTAGTAGTAGTAGTAGTAAAAGTAGTAGTAGTAGTAGTAGTAGTAGTAGTAGGAGTCGTAGGAGTAGTAGTCGTAGTAAAAGTAGTAGTAGTAGTAGTAGTAGTAGTAGCCGTAGTAGTAGTAGTAGTCGTCGTAGTAGTAGTAGTAGTAGTAGTAGTAGTGGTAGTAGTAGTAGTAGTATGGTAGCAGTAGTGGTAGTAGTAGTCGTATAGTAATAGTAGTAGGAGTAGTAGTAGTAGTAGTAGTAGTAGTAGTAGTAGTACTAGTAGTAGTAGTAGCAGTAGTAGTAATAGTGGCGGTGGCAGTGATAGTAGTAGTAGAACCACTAGTAGCAGTAGTAGTAGTAGTAGTAGTAGTAGCAGTAGTGGTAGCCGTCATAGTAGTAGTAGTGGTAGTAGCAGCAGCAGCAGTAGTAGTAGTAGTACTAGTACTAGTAGTCGTCGCCGTAGTGGAAGTATTCATAGTAATCATAGTAACAGTAGTAGTCGTAGTAGACATAATAATATTGTCGTAGTAGTAAAAATAAAATACTAGTATTACTTCTAAGAATGCGAATAGTCGTCGCCGTAGTAGTCGTAGAAGATATAGTAGCAGTAGGGATCGTAATAGCAGCAAGACGGGAGGAGAAGGCGAGAGAGCGGAGGGAGGCCCCAGGACCAGCTCTCCATAGAAAAATCTCACTCGGGACCTACATGGCGCTTTCAACTGCACATGTGCAGGAAGGAGTTCATGGTGGCCCATTTCCGGTGATAAAATCCCCCTGGGATAAAAAAGTTCGGGACGGGGGTTCGGGACGGGGGCCAGGGAGTAGTAGTAGTAGTAGTAGTAGTAGTAGTAGCAGTGGTAGTAGTAGTAGTAGTAGTAGTAGTAGTCGTAGTAGTAGTAGTAGTAGTAGTAGTAGTAGTAGTAGTAGTAGTAGTAGTAGTAGTAGTAATAGTAGTAGTAGTAGTAGTAGTGATAGTCGCAAGAAGACTGGCACTAGTGGTACTAGGAGTAGTAGTAGGAGTAGTAGTAGCTGTTGTTGTAGTAGTAGCAGTAATAGTAGTAGTAGTAGTAGTAGTAGTAGTAGTAGTAGAAGAAGCAGTAGTAATAGTAGTCGTCGTCGCAATAATAGTAGTAGTAGTAGTAGTAGTAGTAGTAGTAGTAGTAGTAGTAGGAGAAATAACAGTAGTCGTAGCGGTCGTAGAAGAAGTCGTAGTACGAGTAGCAGTAGTAGTAGGGAGAATCATAGTAGTAGTAGTAGTAGTAGTAGCAGTAGTGGGAGTAGTAGTAGTAGCGGTGGTAGACCCCCACTGCCATGCCACACGTCTTTGATGACGCTGCTAGTCAACATAAGGAGATCAGAGTTTCGATTCGCATCTCTGACCCGCGATAAGAAAGTTGGGCCGTGCCGCCCCTCCCCGATCAAATCTGCATTGGCCGGGGATAATAAACTATCTGGAGGGAAGGGGGGTATGCTTTATGATCCAGGGGCGGTTACAAGCATCAAGCATACGGTTGGCGTGGTAGAGATAGCGTGCAGCATCGCTCTCCGAAAGTACGCTGCCCCTGCGAGGCGATCCCCCCGCGGGGGCCCCTTCTGTGCACGCCATCCGCCACCCCCTGCCAAGGGCCAGGGCTGGACCCAAACCTTGTGCTTCGGGTTGATCTCGTTTTGTTTTCGTTCTGCTCCACCTTTGTCCTGCACCTCCTTGCCAAGGCGAAGGACAAAAGACAGCCGAAGCCCAGCAGAACAGCGTTTAGGTTCAGCCCTGCCAAAGGCTTCTTCCGTGCACGCTGTCCCCGAGGTGGGGGATAGCGTGCAGTAATGAGCGGGCCCTGCGGCGCCACGCCGAACGCGGCCTTCGCAGCGCCAACCGTCCGTGACTACGAGGGTCCACCACGGCGGCCAGACGCTCAGAGGCCTCCCAGATGGGGTCCGAGCAGATGGGGTCGGAGGACCGCGCCGCATCGGCGACGCATCGGCGACGCGTCGGCGATGCAGCGGCGGTGCGGTGCGGACGCTCCGACCGCCTGGAGCGCTGGAGCCCGCCGGGCGGCCCAGTGTTAGGTCGGGGGTGCTCTCCTACAGGCGGATCTGGAACGAAAACCAAACAACGTGGACAATAAACAATACCCCAAATGGTCAAGAATGGTCGAAACATCGCCCCCAGGCTATTGCTCGACTGCTTCTTGAATTTTCCTCCTGCAGAGGGGAAGTGCCCGACTTGAGCCCAGGACGCTGGACCCCACCGGTGGAAGCCGTGGGCGGGCCCCCGCGGGCGGACTCCCCCGCGGGGATCGGGCCCCCTCCGGCAGGTGGGCGTGCGAGGGCGGGCGCGCCTGCGGGGCCCCCCGTGGCGGTGGCGGGCGGGCCCGCACGGGGCCGCGAGGCGCACGGCGTCGCGAGGTGGGCGGCGGCGAAGCGGGCGGGGCTGGTGTGGCCTCGGGGACGGGGCGGTCCTGGAGCGAAGCTCGGAGGAGGCAGAGGTGCCCACACCGCTAGCCTCCCCCCGTTTTCCCCACTTTGGGGGGCCTCCTGGGAGGCCCCCGTCGCCACCGCCGGATCCGACTCGAGATTCTGGTCAGAACGCACCCCGGGAGGGGTCCGGGGAGTAGCCGTACCTCTTGGTTTCCCCAGAAGAGGTCTCGAGAGGAAGCGGTCTTAGGGCGAAGCAGTCTCGGGGCGAAGCGGCCTCGGGGCGAAGCGGGCCGGGGGCGAAGCGGTCTCGGGGCGAAGCGGACCCAGGCCGACGAGGCTCTCTCCCGGTGGTCGAGCCTCGCTAGTCCCCGCTCGTGGCAGGCAGGCACGCCTCTGCTCATGGCCGCTGTGCAGGGGCCAGCCACCGCGACCGCCGCCCAGTGATCCCGGGTGGCTTGCCCCCCGCACGCCTGCCGTCCCCACCTCCCCCATCATGCACCCCCCCTCTCCCCAGTCAGCCTCTCCTGCTGAGGGGGGGCCCTCCCAATCCTCTCGCCCCTCCACTCCCCTCCCCTCCCTCTCCCTCCCCACATCTTCGCCCCATTCGGGACGGCCTCATGATGGGCTGATCTGCGCACTCCAGAACGAGTTGAGCATTACACGATAAGCGTTTGGGTATATCACTATCATTATGATTCCGAGTGCTGTCCTTTCCCTCCTGCTGGTGCGATAGACGTGGCGGCCGTCTTTCAAGAGACCCGCGCGCCCGCAAGTCCGGGCTCACGTTGCTTCTCGACAGGAAGGTGGACAGCTCCGTAATGCTCTGTTTGTGCTTAAGCATCTGCATCCTGATCTGCGCGACGCTCCCAGATAGCGATGAGATCAGGGTCGAGAACACCAGCATCCCGAATAGAAGACACCAAACGTTGTAGATTCTCTCGATGGTGTTCACCGGGAAGACCTGCTCGCTAGACCCGTATCGACCCCCCCAACGCTGACCCCCCTCAGCAAAGCCGCCTCGAGATGGGCCTTCACCTCCTGCGCACCATCTACACGTCGTTCATTTCTCATCGTGCTCATTTCTAACTGTGCTCGTTTCTAATTGTTCCTTGCCCCCGAGTGGCCAGGCAGAGGCCCAGGATAGAACAATTAGAAATGAAAGGATCTTGGCCCCAAAAAATCAAAGAACCTTAATCAGGAATGAACAACGTGTACCCACACTTCTCTTCTTGAGGAGCGGCAAGCGAAAGAGGGTCAGGGGCACAGTCGGGCTGCCGAAGCAGGGAACGAGAAGTCAGGAACGAAGCCAACTGTTGGCCCCAGGAGCTCCTGCGTGAAGGAGGAAGCCCAAGGAGCGGAGGAGGAGGATGAGGAGGAGGACGAGGAGGAGGAGGAAGAGGAGGAGCAGGGCAGGATGAGGGGGAGGAGGAGGAGGAGGAGGAGGAGGAGGAAGAGGAGGAGAGGAGGAGGAGGAGGAAGAGACTCTTCCTCCTCCTCCTCCTTCTCCTCCTCCTCCTCCGTTTTCAAAATGGGGCTCTCGCCTCAGCGCCGCGCACATTCGTATTCAAAACTTGCAAGAGTTCCACGGATTGAGGTCGGTTCCTTTTCAAGATGTGGCTCTCGCCTGAGCGCCGCGCACAATCGTTTCTAGAAATTGCACGAGGTTCACGGATTCCAAGATCAACGTACCATGAATGGCGTGTTGGAAGGATTCCGGATTCTGAGGGTGCAACAGTTGCGTTGATTCGCGGCGTTGAAGTCCCAAGATTGGCGTTCTGGCACGACTCTGGATCGTCAAGACGCAACAAGCAGGTTGGTCCGTGGCGTTGGAATCCCGAGAACAATGTATTTGGCATGCTTCAGGGTCTTCAAACGGTTATCTTCCAGCGAGGCAGGTCCCTGTGGAAATGAACCGTTGCAGGGGCCTATGAAGAGGGAGCTTGGAGGGAGAGTTTATTCAAACATCGTTGACGACTCTTGGGTTTACACTGGTCCTCCTCCTCCTCCTCCTCCTCCTCCTCCTCCTCCTGCTCCTCCTCCTCCTCCTCCTCCTCTCCTCCTCCTCCTCCTCCTCTCCTCCTCCTCCTCTCCTCCTCCTCCTCCTTCCTCATCCTCTCTCCTCCTCTCCTCCTCCTCCTCCTCCTCCTCCTCCTCCTCCTCCTCCTCCTCCTCCTCCTCCTCCTCCTCCTCTCCTCCTACTCCTCCTCCTCCTCCTCCTCCTCCTCCGCCTGCCTGAGAAACAACCACAGAAAGGGGCCCCAGGAGCGCCGAGCCCCTTCCGAGCACGGCCCGTTCCCGGGGAGGGGGACGGGGGGGCGGCCGCCGCAGGAGGCCCGGCCTCCTTCTGGATCGGCGGCGAGCGAGGGGGGGGGAAGGCTCGGAGGTCCCCCCCGCCATTCTGGGAAGTGCTCCGAGCCTTCCCCGAAGGCGCAGAAGACCCCTCACCAAGGCGCGAGGAGGGCTTCTGAGAAGCCCCGCTGCCTTCTGAGGGGGCCTCCTCCTCCTCGCTCCCCCCCCTTCGCTCGCCGCCGACGAGAAGGGACAGGCCGCTCAAAACTCGTTCCCCTCACGCCTGACGAACGGGCGACAGGGGGGCTCGTCCCCAGACCTCGGAAGCCGTGCACTTAGACAAGACGTGGGCCCCTGGACCTTCCGCCCCGCCCCGCCCAAACCCCTCGGGCGCACGCTAACATGGATTAGCGATCTGTGGACCTGGCGCGTGAGCGCCCGACACACGGATCGGGGAAGGCCCCCCCGAAACATGACGCATATGCCGCATGATGTGACGACGGAGCGCGACGATGTCGCATGGAAACGGGACCCATCGCTAATCCACGCTTCCCATGGTCGGGACCATTTGCTGGAGGAGGAGGGGGAGGAGGAGGAGGAGGAGGAGGAGGAGGAGGAGGAG